AACTCTTCAAAATCAACCAATTTTTTATAGTTATATTTCTAACCATTTTAAATTCCAGTATAAAAAATCCAGTTATAAATTTTCATAGATTATAAGCCCAATCCTTGCCTTCTTTAAAAATAAAAAAACTAAACTATTAAGCAATGTTTGACTGTACAACATGACACTTTTACAGAAACAGAAGGATCTCCTTTAAATATTGCATAAACTTGTTTGTTAATGCAGTTACCACGTCTAATATTTTCCATCAACTTCTTATGTAAATCTCCCAATAATTTTTATATTTTGAAAGTTTAAATTTGTACATAAAAGATATTAAGTCTCAAAATGATCTGAAATTATCACCGATAACAGAACACTTATCCCTCTTTTAACACCAAAATTACCGTAAAATATTAATTAGATAATTCCAACAATTTTCTAAAAAACTATATCCTATTAAATTTGATACTGCTACAACAAATTGTTTCACTAGTGTGAGAAGTCACCCCATGAATTACTCTATCTCAACACATCAACTTCAATTCTGAAGTTCCAGCAGCAATGTGGTCAAGATAACTGATTGGCATCAAGGAAGCAGAGATAACAAGTTCAAGCACAGAAAGGGAAATTTTGCTTAATTCCTTCCTAGGACTTAAAAGTTAAATTGAAGTATAGAGTCATTTATTGATATTCACGTTCATCATCAACTGATGTAGATTCCCTAACAATTTCTTTTCTCTCACTTATTTCGAAAACACTAATATGCTTCATTTAAAAATTCATTCCACAACCCCTAGGAGATAAATCCATAAAATTTGGATGAAAATGCTTTGTGCATTAATAACTTCAGAAACAGCACTTTCTAAGTCCAAATGAAATTGTTATATTTATTATTATAGTCAAATACCGAAAATCCACCAACCTGAAATCCACGTTGCTTCTCAAAATATAAACATTCAGTTTATAAGTTCTGAAAACCGCAACATGGAATATGAAATATCGATGAAAAAATACTTACCGAATAATGGCATCATAATTACCAAATTATAATGAGTCATAACGGAAATACCAAATTATTGACATCATGATAAAAGTTTTTTCCTCTCCAATCTGCATCGAGGTAAAAAAGCAGAGGATTCACTCAACTCTTCTTTCAAGTTCACGATTCACGTTGTTGTATTTTCTGAACTTTGTTATTTCACAAGATTGCTTAGTGCTGCCTTTTTTTTTATCCGGATATTTTGTGGATAAATTAAGAATATTTTAAATTTCAACGCTTTTTAATACAATGACAGATAAGAAATACACTCATGATTTTACTGCTTGCAAGGTTGAAACACGTTGCACTGACAGTAATGCAAAAAGTGGAAATTCTGCAAAAGATGGAGGCAGGTGCTACTCCTCTTTTTGTAGCAGAATAATACAGAATTGCGTCACAGACTGTGTATGATATATGGGAAAAAAAAAAAGAAAAGCAGTTGAAATTTTACAGCAACAGTGATTCTAACACCGGAATCCGAAACCGGAAATCTTTGCATGAGGTGAAATCGGCAAACCTCGATGCTGTCTTGTACGAGCGGTTCCGGCAGCAGCGGAGTGATGGAGTACCAATTTCAGGACTGCTCCTGAGAGAAAACGGAAAGCAGATTCATGCTGATTTAAAAATAGAGGGGCCTAATGTAAATGAATAATATAATACAATCAGTTTATATATGTAATAATAATTTAATGCATATAATAAATTATTGTAATAATGCATATAATAATTTAATTAAACGCATCTAATATGCCTCATTTATTTTGCACTTTAGTCTGAATATTATGATTTATCTTTTCTGTTCTGAAATCTGCACAACCTCTGGTTCCAAGCTTTGCGGATTTCTGGACTTCTACTGTATTACTATTTTACACTGCACAGCTACAAACCTCTTCAATAACACATGTATCTCCTAAAAACAGTTCACTTTCTTTTTTTTAAAGCCCAAAAGAGCTGTTATGAAACATGATTTTATATTGTTTCACTATTCATTTGAGGCTGTTGCCATTCAGTAAAATGTAAGATATTTATCATTTAAATTTAAGCTATCTATTACTGATTAACATATTAAGCTATTTAAAAGCAAATAAATGCAGCTCTTAAAAATATTATTTTCTTACTTTTTAACCCTCTCATTGCATAATTTTTTTTTTATCAAAACAGGTTCAAAAATTGCATATTTTTTTTAATACACTACATTTCAAATCTACATATGTTTTAAAAATCAAATATACACCCCCCAAAAAAAAAAAAAAAAAGGGGGGGGGTTTTTGTAAAAGAGTTTTTTTTTTTTTTTTTTTTAAACATAGAATTAGATCATAAAAAGTTGTCAGAAAATCGAAATTGAAGAATAATCATATAAAAGCAAAATTCTGAAAATCAATCTTTGTTAAATTATGATATATTTTAAGGAATATGAAGGTAAAACATATATATTAATGAAAATATGAAAAATACTTACAAAACATTTATTAGAAATGAAGTTTAGTATGATAAACTTTGAAACAAGGCTCGAGGCAAAGTCCTACTTCACAATCTTTGCACCAAATTTGGTTTTCTTTGTGAGTTTTTTTTGCCAGTTTCAATTTTTTATCGAGCAACAAACAGCACACTGTCTATGAGGCTCTTTCTTGATGGGATTGGGGCATATATCGCTAGCAAAATGTTGAGCAGTTAGTTTCATGGGACTGACAGTCAATCTACAGACATCTCTGAGCTTTGAAAAGAGCGTGCAAAATGGTGCAAAACATGCTTGTATATTTCGTAGAAATAGACAACTAAGACCATTTGTTAACCCAGATCTGAATAAACAATTAAATATCATAGAAAAACCGGAATGAAACCATGAACAAGAATAGAATGGGTTGCGAAGTTAAATAAATGGGAAAAATGCATACCCGCGGAAACCATGGGTTGAACAAATGTTGCTACTGTTACATTGACCATAGAAAATGCGGGATACGCAGTGAGAGGTTTCATATGATTGATTTAAATAAAAATGCATTCAATGAATGATATATCTAATTTAAAACATTAAACATTTTTTCACTTTTCAAATATACAGAAGATACATAACATCCCCATATTTACTCTACATGCATATTCATCTATCATCCTATAAAATGTTTCACTATTCCACTTGGACCATTTTTAGCGATAATCTCTACTGATTAACAATATTAAATTTTAAAAGAACTCTTTTGGGTGACCATTAAAATCTGAATTCTTTCAGATTTATTATTATTATTTTTGAATGAAAATGATGAATTTTAACATGCGACATAAAAAAGAATATTGCAGAACTGCAAAAGGACATCGGTTCATTGTAGACATATATACAAGGATCAGAAATCCGTCATGCAGATATGGGCAGATTAAAGAGCTATTGAAAGCTACATGTATATTTGGCATGACACTAAAAGAAATCTATCATCTCACTGAGAAAACCATAATGTTTTGCATATAAATAACAGTTTTAGAAAAGGAGAATATATATTACAAAGTATAATTTATAGTAAACAAAAGTACAATCTTTCAGACAAATTACAAAAAAAAAAAAAACTTTTAGAAAAAACTGGTATCATGTCACCATATTATATTACAAGCATTCTACCTTATAATATTTAAAATTGTTTTCTAAAAATTTTCCTTTATTGAAGAACTGGATGTTTGTTATCTGATCAAAAATTTCTGTATAAATTTTCAGAAATAACTTTTGCAAGTGAATTTCCCCAAATTACTTAAAACTGACCCTTATTATATAAATTTATGCTATTTGAAACTGAACATTTAAAAAGAAATCATTTAACAATTTTTTAAATTGTTGTAACTAAGAAGTAAAATTAATATCATAATTACAGTATTAAAGTAAATATTTTGACAAACAGCAAAGAACCCACGAAAAAGATAATGCAAAAAAGTATCAAGACTGCATTATAAAAAGTTATTATGGCAAGACAGTCGAGTTTTGTCAGCTCTAAGAAAAATGCTTTTATACATAACTTTGAGAGAAACTAGCTCGTATTAAAAAAAAAAAAAAAAGTTAAAATCTGTGATAACCACAGATAACAGTACATTCAATTACTATAAATCAACCTATATCTCTGTTAAGCTCTTTTTAACCACTTAAACAGTTATGACCTAAATTATCAGAAAAGGACAAGGGCAGTTTTTTTCCCCCATGCTGTATTAATTATTTGGAAAATTATGGTAAAGTAAATTTCAATGATTTTTTAAATTTCAGGATAAAATTAGATAATAAATATGCATGTAATTTTTCTACATAGCAATACTGTTCTTTTCAAAAATGACAAAACTGATAGAAAATTAATACACATTAAAAATTTATCTTATTATTTTTAAAGATAAAAGCAGAAACTTTTTATTATTTTTCCTCTGAAAACTTGACAAAATAGTAATACTGTATTAATAAGTACTAAAAAAAAAGGCATCAGTTGCAATAAATACAGCAGAAAGTATTTTATTAAATCAAAGATTGTTAGTACAATGCATAAAATATAACTGTAACTACAATCGATTCTCATTATAGATCATTTCAATATTCACGTTACAGTCTAGCAAGTTTCTTTCCTCAACTAATAGCAAAGTTTATACAATCAGTTATTGGATCCTGAAAACACAAGCATATTTAAAAAGTGTAAATATCTTAAATTTAACTTTTAATACAGACCATCAATGAGACTCAATTGTAAGTACAGTTTTAAGAATTTCACTTTACTTAAGCATACATTAGACTGTTAGTGTAAAGCATGTAAGAAGCAAGACTTAAGCAATATGCATGTTATATTTTCTTAAAACAGTCACTGGCATACTAGCTGAACCAATATACAGAGATTTTGTTTTTTCTTTTAAATATCCTTACTTTATCTACTCAGAAAATCAGGAATCTACTATCACATGCATATAAATAGTTGTTTCTTACTCTGTAAATTATGAGCAGTTTTTAGGAAGTTTGTCTCACCCTCACTGACATCAGACACATCTAAGTCTTGATTAAACGACTGATTGGAAAGGTCCTCTTGACTAGAAAGAGAAGATGTCTTTTCCAATAGATATGCTTTTCTAAATTCAGGACCTGGAGATGAATTTCGAGAATGTGATGGACTCCTTTTGTTTGATCCTTCTGAAGAACGTCTTCGTTGGAAAAGTACATCAAGAAAAGAATGACTAGCAGCTCGCTGAGGTGGTTTTGCATCCTCTTCTGGTTGAGTAACAGTAAGTTCAGGAAGTTTCTTACGAACTGGAGCCGAGAGTGAAGATGAGCGTCGGTTTTCAATTTCTAAATGCTAAAATATTTTGGAATAACTAGGATTTAATAAAGTGAAAAAAATAATTTTTAAATAATAAATTTTTTTAAACTGGAAATGAAATACATTTTTAACAGAAAGCCCTAGTCTATACCTAATTCTTGGCATTTCTTTACACAGATGAGCTGCCAAGGCCAGTGTTAGAGCTTTTGGCATTTGCCTACGATTCCTGAACAATTTGTTACTTAAAATTTTGTGAGATTTCTTTTGAATACCTAATTCGATATACATGTATTTCCATTTGTTAGCCATGTAAGATTTATATGTCTTTATATATAAAGCCCCAAAGAGCTATTAATCTCAAAACAATATTTTCCATTGAATCACTTTTCACATTATTGCCACCAAATATTATCGTCCTCTATTATATTTACAGAAGCTAAATAATGAAGAATATACATGAGTGTATGTATGTTTCTCACATTATGACAAAACAATGGTACTTAAAGTTATCAAATTTTGAATAACATAGTCCTCCACCCAAAAATGGGCATCTAGAAGCCCAAATTTGTTTTATTATCTATTTCATATTTTGCAAAACTTTAATGAATTTTTGATTAAAAAATTCTAACGAGTTTCAAAGCGAGCCAGTGAGCAACAGTCTATGGAAAAAAAAAACTTTTTTTATCTCCAGCGTGCGAGACTGTCTATTGGAAATTCTAAAGATCTTAAAATATTTTTAGCAAAGTGTGGTGCTAGACCAAATGCTCTTGAGATATGTTTATGTGTGAATTCTATTATGTATAGATGTTAAATGCATGTGCTCTTGTATTTTTAATTTTTCCGGCTTAGCTTATTCATCATCTTTCCGGCTTAGCTTTCTCATAATAACATGGAATAAAACAATTTACAGTTATGCAAGCAACCAATAAACTATCAGCGACAAACACTTAAACCGCATATATATAAGATGTAGTGGATGTTGAAATGGTTTATAATATAGTATACTATATTTTTTGTTTAAGGAACTTTCAATAAAAAAATAATCTAGGAAATAAGCAAATTGCTATAAGAATTTTTTGGTTTATTTATTACAAAGCTTTTATTTTTGTATTTATTGCAAAACAAATTAAAAAAATTACTACAAAGTCATTTATTAGCCCAAAAGGGCAATAGCTTGAATGGGCTTTTAGTCTCAAAATGGAATTTTGTGTCATCCACTATAAATGGCTGTATCACTTTTCAGATTGTTGCCCTGTATTATTTTTAAAGAAATTAAATAATGAAGAATCTGCATATGTGTATATATATTCCTCACATGATGAAAAGACAACAATATCTAGAGCCATCAAGATTTGAATAATATAGTCCTCCACCAAACATGTGTATCTGGAAGCCCAAATTTGTTTTATTGTCTATTTCATATTTTGCAAAACCTTAATGAATTTAACTTTAATGAATTTTTGATTAAAAAACTCACAATTTCAAAGTGACCAGAGGCAACACTGTAGGGAATAAAACATGTTTATCTCTAGTGTGCGAGACTGTCTATTGGAAATTTTAAAGATCTTAAAACATTTTTAGCAAAAAGTGGTGCTAGCCCAAATGCTCTTGAAATATGTTTATGTGTCTGAAACTGACAGAAAAATAAAAAAATAAAAAGAAGGCCCAACTGGGCATAATATAAAATCTAAAAGCTTTCAGATTTTTATTTATTTATTTGTTGTGACATTGTTGCATTCTAAATTTGGCTATAAGGTTTGTTGTAAATTTTCATTATGTTTGTATCCAAACCATCATGTTATGTATTCCTGTTGAATTTGAATAACAGATTTGAATTTTGATACTTCATTTATTATCTTCATTATTATTACTTTACCCCTCAATTTCAAGCACATTCTGTAGTATGCAATGAAACCTTTTTTAAATTACAAACAAGTTCAATATTCATAGTTTATCTTAGAAATATTTATTGCGATAAGAACATAGCATTAAATTATCAGATAGATAATGCATTTAAATTCTTCTATTTTAATGCAGACTTTCCCCCTTCATTTTATACTTTAAATTAATCATAAAGTGCTTCATAAATTTCTCCTAACCAATTCAATTTTGCCTTTCCTCAGCATTATTACTAAACTTATATGTTTATGCAGATAGCACTGTAACTAGAAGCACAGTTTATTTTAGTTATCACATGACTACTCGCGCTTTCGCAACGAGGGTTTATGTTTTATTTTGTTTAATTTTTTTGATTTGTAAGACATATTTTGTTTTTCCTTGAGGATAAAAAATGTAATTTCATACAGTTTATTGCTTACTAGTGTTATTTTGCTTTGTATCATCATTTTTGGTCTGTCCACTTGCAGCCCCTATAGATTTTATGTGAACAATAATTATTATTGCTCAGTTTTGATTTTATGTGCTAAGACATTATGAAATAATGATTACTATTGCTCAATTTTGATTTCATATGCTACTACACTATGAGAAAAAAAAAGAGCAAATAAGCTATTTTTTTTAGTACTTTCAACTTGCACATTTGTTTGCAATGTTTCACTGAGATTTTGTGTTTTGTGCAACAAATATTGTTGCTTCATAAACAATATGTCTTTTTAATGCTAATCAAACAAATTCAGATTTAACTGACTGTTGCTGAAACATTTGAGAACATGCATCTGCTGCATCAATTAAGAGTAAGTCATCTTTACTATTTTCATAATGGATATAAAATTACTATTAGTAAAGAAATGAGTCACTAAAAGGAATTTAACAAAATTTGAGGATAAAGAAATTAAAGAAATTCTGATATTGCTAATGCAGATGGGGTAAAAATCAAACTTTCAATAAGAAACTAATACAATTAATGATTTCTATTCAGATTCAAAACAAAAAAGTTCTCATCTTGATAATGTTAGTTTGGTTAGTAAGCCAGATCCTAAGACTTAGCCAGATGTTCATTTAATGACCTGCTGCACAAAGGTCCTAGAATTCAACTAGAATTATTTGATATTCTCATCCAATTTAGAATATATCCTGTTGCTATTTGCACAGATATAGAAAAAATGCATAAAAAAATTTGTGTGCGCCATGAAGATACAAACTTCCAGCACATTCTTAAGACAAATCATGTGAAGAAGCCAATTCAAGAATATCTACTCAATGGTAGCATAAGAAACTTCCCCCTGCACCCTTCTTATCAACTAATTCTTCCTCCAATTAACTTTAGATGAAGAAAAGGATTTTCCAAGGGCATTGGAAATTGTCAAATCTAACTTTTACATAGATTATCTTTTAACAAACATAAAAAAAATAACAATGGCACAGATAACCTTACGCATAGCAGCTGCTTCATACTGCAGAAATAGTCATCATACATGATATATTAGGATCAATATTAGGAACATATATTATGAACTGCCACAAGAACTCGAAGAAAATGTTCTTCAACTGGACATTTTCAAGAAACAAGCAAGAAAGATGTTGGGAATAAATTGACATCCCCACAGTGGCCCATTTGATTTTAACATACTATTTTCTGTAATTTCTACTGTCATTAAAATAAGATGCTGTCAGAAGTTGTCAGTGTGACCCCTTAAGCTGGTTAGCCCCAACTATGATTTCTGCAAAAATATTTCTTCCAAGACTTGTGGACTGACAAGTTAGAATGAAATAAAGCTCTTAATACGCAATGATTCACAATCCAGACTTGCTTTCACAGAGAGTTAAATTCACTTAGTAAATTAAAAATTCCTGAAATGATTTCAGTTGATAATTATCATAAGACAGAGTTACACTTAATCTGTGATCTGTCTGAGAAGGCATATTGTGCAGTAATTTATGCTAAATCTTTTTCTGAAGCAGAAATTAAAATGTCATTCATATGTGTTAAAAAAATTGTTGCACCACGTAAAGTGCAATCTTTACAAAAACTAGAATTATGTTCTGCATTATTGTTAGCAAATCTGCTCAAGGCAGGGATGAAATATTTGACTGCTTTTACTAGTAACTTTTTTTGCATAGTCAAATTCTACTGTCACCTTATTCTAGATTGCCTTTTAATCATGAAGATGCTTCCTTTCATGGCCAATTCAGTGTCAAAAATTCAAACCATCATTCCTGAGGTGAAAAAATGTTAAATGGAATTTTTTTTCCCAATGAAAAAATAATCCTGCATGTTATGGTACTAGAGGCTTACAACCTAATGAATTAATTGATTGTTATCAATGGTTCAGTGGACCTTCTGGGTTACAAAATTATAATCCAGAATCTGTATTGGATGAACAGATAAACATTAAACTGGACAGCAAAGAAGTAGCCAAGAAAGAAAGAAAATGCATTATTTCCAATTTCACTAAAATTCCTGATGATTCTTTTCTTTGCAAATTTTCATCTTGGTCAAAATTATGCTGTATCTTTGCTTATCATTTACGAATTAACAATGATTGTTTGAAGTACACTTCTGAGAAAACATGACTTCTTGTTAGTAAAGAACTTAGAACTTTATAACATTCACAATAGTAAGAATGACTAAAGAATTCAAACATTTTGGAAAATAAAAGGCATCCTATGCTTATTCTTAAAAAAAAGTTTCATTTCTAAGCTCATCATTAGAACATAATCACGAAACGTGTTCACATGCACATCCTGCATTTTTATTTTCTGTAATAAGATAAAAGTTTTGGATTGTTACATGATTAAAAATTGTGTTATTTGCTCTAGACATTGTGCCCAAGGTGCAAGACAAATAACGGATGACCTACCATGGCCTAGAATTATGGTTTTAAGAGCTTTTGTTCGAGCCAGGATGGATTTTGCTAGCTCATCCATTATAAAGCCATGGGCAAAGGTTTTTCAGTGTTATGTTTGTGTTTTTATTTTATTATATTTCTACCTAAGAGAGATTTATTTTTATTTGTTACTGGTTGTTTAACTATCTCAGCCTTTAATTATTTTAACCTTGCTTATCATTACTACTGCATATACTTATCTATCCTATTTTAACTAAACTACAATATTTAAGGAAACAATATTCATATTCCTTTTTACTGCTATTTTATACATTGGGCAAATAAATAATTTTTTTTAAACAGTTTTATATAACAGAAAATTGCTAAAAGCAAAAATAGTTCAAATACACTTAAAAGAAAGTTTTAAAAAATATTAAAGAAAGGAAAAACAAATGTTAAAGCATTCAGTCAAAATAATGCCATTTTAAAAGTTACAAGAACAGAATGAAATGAAAGTGTCTTCAGATATTGGCAAAAGTTTTTCTGTCATCTACAAGGCACTTAAAGCAATCCTATGCTGTTCAATGTGATAAAATTCATGGACATGTTTTGATGTTACAGTCAGACAAGTGAAATAAGTCACAAAAACACTACAGATTTCAAGGAAGACTGACACTAGTGCTCTTCCTCAATCAGCAAATATTTATTTATTGTTTTAAAGGGCTTTCATTCTTATGTTATTGTAAAGAATTTTAACTCCGTTTAACTCTTATCCACATGTAAAAATTAAATGAATGTCCCAACAAGTCATGTAAATGGAGTAGTAGTTGGAAAGCATTTCAAACTCAGAGCAGAAGTATTACAACACACAAGCACAACTTAAGAATAGCAAAAGTAAGATTTTCTAAGTAGCCCAGACTTTTGAATGTCGTTTAACTGATTATTCCAAAGCAACTAAACATTATCTGCTTAAGTGAAGGAATATTTTCATGTAGAATTTTCTTAAAAAACCTGGATTCTATTCACGTTATACATTGAGAAAACTGTGAACACCTTATGCAAATAACTTGCTGACAAGAAAACAAACTATTAATTTTCAACAGTTTCATCCATTCAACTATCTACTGCTATATATAGCACTATTAGCCAATACTTTAATGGACTAAAAGCCTACATGGATTTTTTTAATTTCTGTGAAAGTCGATTTGTTTAAAATTAATACTTTTCATAATTTCAATAACATTTTTTTCCACGAAATGGAACAACACAAAGACAAATAATATTTTTTTTTTTTTTTTTCCATATGGAATGAATATTTAAATACATTAAATTAGATATTTGAATTTGGAATGGAAAAAGCTTTAAAAAGTCATAAATTTAGGAGTTACAGTAATTGATTTCAAAATTTTGGTCTCATTTAGGTACAAAAATACATACCTTTTTTCTAGGCAGGCTTGATGTCATGGAATCACTCCTAATTTTCTGCCTTCTCCTAGATCTCCGTTTCTCCTCAGAGAGGACAGGTTCACCATTCATAGAATTAGATTTGTAAGCCTTTTTCAAAGGGCATAATATTAAAGAAAACTTTGTTATATTTTTGGTTGTCACAGGCTTTTGTGAAGATAAAGGCACAACAGCCAAAAGACGTTTTTGAAATGATGAAGGCTGTTCTTTTTTTTCATGTTCCAGAAGTACACAAGGCTTTTTTGGAAGATCATTTAAAGCTGAATGAATAGTAGGAAAATGAGGATTATTTAATGATGATGAAAGCAACAATGACTGAAATGGACGGACTTTTAACTGGCTCCAAGAAATAGCTTCTGATAAATTTAAAACTTTTTGACATAGTATATCTGGCATATCAACCTTGAGGGGTTGCTTGGCCTCACAGCCCCACATTGCTGTCAACATGCACTTTTTCTCTTCAGTAGCTTCATCACCATTATCTAGAAAAGATATTTACATCAGAAAACACATTGCAAAATTCTATTATAACTAAAATAATTCCATTGTTTCCACATTAATGTTACCATATTTTTACGAATGTTATTATATTACTAATTCAGAAGTCAAACAACAAATATATTATTATGAAGAAATAATACAATATAATATATTATTACATAAATAAAATATTATACAGTAATAAATATATTATTTTGAAGAAATAATACAGTGATTACAAACAACAAAGGGCAGTACAAGCTTAACTGTGGGATCCCAATGAAAAAAGTTAGGTTTGGTTTATTTGATTATGGCAAAGCATGTGAGGACTTTCTGCCTACAGGGAGAGATACCTTTGTGGAGGACTTTCTAAGAGAAACTGGCTCGTATAGAAGTCACACATGGAGAAAACCACAAAAATGCACTAGCAGCCAGCCCATTTGGTGGGATTTGAGTGCCAAACCAAACTACCAGTGTTCAACAACTTTACTGCTGAGCCCTGGTGGGTTCAATACAAAAGGGTAATTACAGGGAGAGAAAGTGAGAGGGTCACAGAGTTTGAGGCAAGACAAATATTGGTGCAGAAGGCAGACAAAGGAGTAAAAAGTATTACATGCTTGTACAGCACTGTTGTTTAAAAATTATAATTAGAATAATAAAAGGTCATGACCACATTGAAAAAAACTTGAATGAGAGAGGAAAGTCCCCATTGCAACTCTTGAACACTTTACTGACGAGTAGGCTAGATTAAACATTCTAGAAGATTTAGAGGAAAACTGATGAATATGAAAGTAAGCAAGTACATGAGGAACTTATTTAATGAAGACATATTACATAATAGATATATTAAATTATATAAATATTTCATAGTGATAATAAAAACAAGAAATGTAAACTCAAAATGTAGCTAAAAAATTAACTATTACAACAGCAATGCAGGTTGCTGATTTAGAGCCTAAGGCAGTCCCTAAGGCTCTAAATCAGCAACTTAAGTCCATGCATTCTTATGCCAGTGAGAATAATTAAAGGAAGAAAATGCCTACAAATAAGAGAAAACTGAATTTATATTTAAATCTAAATGTATTATTAACCTCCAAAACAAAAATAACTGTTTATAATATGGCCACTGTTTAGAATTTTTAATATTTAGAATTTTTGAATATACACAGTTTAGAATTTAACTGTTTAGTATATGGCCACCAATTTGTCAAAGAAAGTCCTTTAAGTAATTATGTAACAAATTAAGTCACATGCAAAAAAATATAATGAATTTTTTAACATTTCAGTGTATTTGAAGAAAGCAATATTTTACAGCTGGGAACCAACTGAATATTTAATAGATACAGGAAGCAGTATTAGTCTTTTAAAATCACCAATAGTACCAAAACTGCAGCTGCCCGGAACATAAAATCTTTCATCTGTCACAGTTTTGAGGAATGTAATTGTTCAACTGTGAAGTGAAAATATCATTATAACTGGTTTTATTTACAAAAGACACCGCTGCACAGTTACTTCATTGTCAGGAGGAATATTTTAAATGATAAAATATTGGCTAAAATATTGTTTTACGAATAAAGAGGAATACTTTTTGGCATGCTAATATTGCTCTATTCGCTCAGATGAAAAATGAAATAGAGTCTAAATGCACCAAATCATATGCCAAGAATCCAATGGAATACAGTAGTTAGTGCATGCTGTAACACGATACAAATACGAAGGTTGCTATTTATATTTCTGAACTTGGCAATAGTTGTTAGTGTTGTTAAGCGACTGCAGATGATTCCAATCGAAAGTTTGGTATTTTTAACCATAACTTCTTCAGGAGGTTTTGCTATTTTAGTATGATTTGTTTTGTTTACAATAAAATGAAAAATTCATCTTGCGCAAAAAATGGAACTGACTCGTGAACATTTTCCTGTGATTATTTTTTATAACTTTAAGCGTTGATTATAAAGAACACTCAAGACACAATTATCGAAATGCTGAAGGCAAGAGTGTTTCGATGAAATTAATTCTTTATACAGCAATAAAGGAGCATTTTACAGCACTGTAAAAAATTGGTATAACAAATTCAATTGTGATCGACATTCGCTCCAGGACAAATTCTGTTACAATCGTCCAAAATCGGTTGTTGTGCCAGAAAATATGAATGCTGTGCATGAAATGTAAAAGCATGATGAGACTATTCAACAGGGTAGAGACTATATTCACATCACTTTACCAAATGAGGTAACTATACTCTAAAGCAGGGGTCTCCAA